AGGGCCGTGCGCGGCTCCTTCCGGGCCGCCGGGCCACCCTGCCCCGCGCCCCTCCCGCCCGGGGCCTGGGATGTCTCCCCTCTGTCCCCCCTCCGGAGAGACGCAGACCCCAGCGCCTAGTTCAGACAGGCCAGGGTCCTGCTCCTGCGCCTCCATCTCTTCCCCTGGGTGTCCCCAGGTCCCCAGTCCGCCGGCGCTGGGGCTGGCAAGCGGAGGCCTCACCCCGCTCAGAGCAGGTAAGCGAGTCAGGTGCTCAGAGACCCAGCAGCTGGGGGGAAGAAGGCCCTGCCTTAGCCCAGACGGGGGAGCAGCACCCGCAGCCGCAGTGCTCCCACCCTGGGGAGCTAGGGGCTCCTTATGACCTTTCGCCCCTTGCCTGGGGGCGGAGGGTGTCCACAGGGCCTTGTGTGGTCAAGGGGCAGGTCACTCTGGCCTGGGTCTCCCGAACTGAGAGGGAGGTGGGAAGGGGACGTGGCCCCTCAGAGGCACATCTAAGTCCCCTCTCCAAATGTTTGTGGGTTCTCCATCCCCAGAACATGCCTCCCACTCCTCCATCCAGCAGGTCAGCAGACCCGGTCCCCAACGATACCCTATGTGGGCACTTCCAGCCTGGGCTGTCCCTGAGGAGAGCCCGGTCTGGTCAGGGAGGCAGACAAGGACACAAGTGCAGAGGGGAAGTAGGGACAGCTGCCCGGTGTGGCTTCCTGGGGGTGGAGACACTCCAGTTGATTAAGGGCACGCCGAGGGAGAAGGCAGGGAAGAGGTATTCCAGGCGGAGGGAACCGTACTTGCAAAGGCCTTGGCACTGGGGGGCTGGTGAGTTCAGTGGGATTAGAGAAAAAGGAAAAGTAGGGAAGAGGGAAGATGAGGTGGTGGGAGGAGGGACAGGAGCCAGATGGAGCAGAGCCACTGACGCCTGGTTAAGGGAGTGGACTTTATACTTTACCAGGGCAGTTGGGAGCCATAGAAGGTTTTTGAGCAGGAACATGACCTTGTCAGGTTTATCTTGTTAAAGCTTGTGCTGGCAGCCCTGACAGAGGAGGAGGGCCTGGAGGGGGAGAAGCTGGGGCTGTGGAGGGAGATGATGGAGGCCTGGGGCTCTGAAGCCAGAGAGAGGGGAGGGACAGGCCAAAGGGGCCTTAGGCGGTCACCCCTTCCTGCTTCCTTGTCTTTGGACCCCACTTCTCTTACGCCGAGCTCTATGGAGCATCCCAAACTCAACATGGGAGCATCTTTCTCCACCTGGGGCTGCAGCCTTCCCAAGCACAATGTCTCCGTGGGAAGTGATGGAGAAAACTGCCGTGCCTGCTTGGAGACACGGCTTGGGCTTGAGACACAAGTGAGACACAGCAGACTCCACCTGCTGCCTGTCAAAGACAAAGCCACAGCTTGGCTGTGGCCTCAAGAGATTCCAGAGGACCCATGGTTTGTGATAGTAAAGAATTTGCCCTCCTGGTCCCTGAGTCGAGAGCAGAGAAGCTCCTGTGACACTTGTCCTCCAGGGCCAGCTTCTTCACCAACTCTGATCCTACCATAATTCCCCTCAGCTCCCAGAACACCATCTCTGACTTTCCCTGGATATGCATTTGCTGAGCACCTACCGCATGCATAGCACTCAACACTTCTTCTGGAGCAAAGCATGCAGTCCCCACCAAAGGGGCCTGCTGTGACTTGTACCACCCAGTCCCAGGCACTGAGATCTGAGATTACCTCATGTAACACTGTCTCATGTAACCCCCACACCTCCCGGTCCAGGCCGCACCCCAGAGGTCAGGCTCCCCAGAGCCCAGCGCTGCATCACACGAGGGCCGGAGCTCAGTAGGTGCCCCACGAACAGGCTCTGAAAGACAAGGGAATGAGGAGCGTGAGGAGCGTGGGATGGGCAGGATAGACCCATTCCTAAAAGAGCAACCAATCTGGCAAACACAGCAGACATTCTGCTTTTGGAAAAATTTAATAACACAGTGGCACTTGTTCATGGAGACTAATAGAAACACCACACAATCCCACACTGCTGTACCAGCCAGGGGATGGCTCGTTCTTCTGGGAAACATTTCCCAGGCGCCTACTATGTGCTGGAGGGAAGGGAGAGAAGGGGGAGAACGCAGGCGGTCCACCATAGGAGAGGCTGGAGGTCAGCAGATATTCACGATGGCGGGGAGAAAAGCGGCAGGTGCAGCCCAGGACACTTCAGAGGTGGTGGCGTGTGCTCGGGAAGGACATATGGAAACGTGGAGAGATGCGGCCCAGCAGAGGGACCAGCCTGCACAAGGCTCAGAGCCTCCAAAGAGCACGTGGGACTCCCCTGGCCGAGAAATTCACCTTCCGGGAAGGCGACCTGAGCCGCTAACTGCAGGCTGCCCTACTATTACCGTCGACAGTAGCCCCAAACTGAAAACAACCTAAATGCCCATCCAGAGGGGATCATTTTTTTAAATGACAGTATTTCCAGGGAATTTCAAGTAGCCAAATCATGTTGCTGAAATATATATGGTGGGAAAATGATGTCCGTGCTCAGCACACATCCCATGAAGGGTGAAGCGGTTACATGAGAGTGTGCCCAACTCTACGTTTTGAAAAATGAAAAATAGAGGGAAAGAGAGAGAAAGAAGACAGGAAGATGAGCAAAAGGTCAACCCTGGCGCTATGATTATGATGCTTTTTTACTCTGTTCGTGGGATCTTTATTTGCCTCCTACTTTTCCGCGACCTTCAGCATATCGCGAAGGATAGGGCTGTGGAGCGTGCAGGGAGGGGTGTGAGTGGAGGGTGCGGTGCGTGTGAAGCAGGGGCTGGGATGGGCTGGGGGTGCCGGCAAGGCCCAGGCCGCAGACAGCTCTAGTGCCTCATTGACAGTGTGACCTAAGCTTTCTCACGTTCCTCGGGTTCTCCAAGGTGACAGGCTCGGGGCCAGCATGCCAGGAATGGTTATTATCCAGCAAGCATTCACATGCACTGTGTTGGGTCCCAGGAATCATCCTGGCGGAGAAGGCCAGAGGAGTTCGGGGAGATGAAAGTCAGTGCAAAGGGGCGGGGGAGTGGCTCCCAGGATGAGGGGACCCAAGCTGGGGCTTGCAGGATGAAGTCTGGTTTCACATACCTGCCTCTGCCAGCCCAGGTCTGTCTGGATTCTCAAGCAGCCCAGTAGGGTGTCACCTTCGGGCCAGCTGTCTGGGATGGGCCTCATCCCAGCCCTTCCTCTAGGCACAGAGCTCAAGGTGGAAAAGCCATGTGCTGTCAGGGTGGCCCTGCCCACCTCCAGCAGGCTCGAGTACAGACTACAATGACTACCCTGACTCCTGAACCTGCCTCTGCCACTTACAGCTGTGACTCTGAACCCCAGTCTCTTCTTCCATAAAGACAATGCACTAATCTCTACCTCAACAGCAGTGCACATAGAATGTCTGGTATATGGTCAGTGTTCAGCAAGTGGTGGTGGTTAACATGTCACATATAGTTCTAGATACCAAGTCTGGGAATCTGGATCCTAACCCAGTTCTATCACTAACTTGCTCGAGATCTTGGGACATTCTCATGACTCTCTGAGTATCAGTTTTCTCAGCAGAGGAGAAGGGGATGTAATAGCTCACTCCTGGGCATGCTCACAGATGAAATGACAAGATGTGGAAAGGCCCCAGAGCTCCCCTCGACCCCCTGCTTGCCCCTGGCTAGAGGTCCAGTCAGGCTGTTGTCCAAATGAGCCCCCACCCCACTCCATGGCACTCCCCCCGTGTGAACCCAGGCCATCACCCAGAAAGCAGGTGGGAGCTGGATGAAGGACCAGCCCAGGCAGGCCCAGCCAGCCCCTGCAGCCTGCAGGATCCAGGAGGATGCTGCAACCCACAGCTCTCCTGAGGGGAGGTCAGCTCCTGGTGCCACTCCTGGCTGTATGGGTGGCCTAGGCTGCCAGTACCCATGGGCCCTGGCCCCTCATGTGCTGCCTGTGAGCCCTTTACTGTTTTTAAAGAACTTCTCCAGATGCATTGTAGATGGTTTATTTCTCATAACAGCCTGACCGGGACCTCAGCAAGGGGCAGCCTTTGCTGTGAAGGGAGACTAGAAGCCCCATTTTATAGGTGAAGAAACTGAGGCTCCAAGAGGTTTCAAGACCTGTCCAGCTAGTGTACAGTGAAGTCAGGACTATAAGGCCAATATTCAGACTCCAAGACACCTGCTCTCCCCTCCATCCAGCCCTGCCTGGCTC